AAAAGACACTTTACAAGGTGAAAACCAGACTAGCGTTATTGATGATTTCGATCAGATTTGCTTTATTGATGAATCCTTTATGAGGCCTAAATCCATCGGCTGCAAACCGTCTGCTGACTTGTGATTTTACACGTCTGACACGAAGCTTTCGCGGTGCCACAAAGTCACGTTGAGCGTTGTCCCGGTAGCAGCAGGTGTTGAGTGATGTTGTTGTGGGGTTTTTCAGCTGTGACTGTGGGGTCTCTGGGGCCCGTCCAACAGCAGGCTGACTCAGCCATAAAGGACAGAGTTGGAGTGACTTCAGATTATGCTGAGTCAGGCTGAGAAGCCCTGAGAACACACAGACGTGTCCTTCTGTCCTTCTACCTATTGTACTCCTCTACATCTCCTCTCCCCTCCATGTCCTCCACACGCCAGCATTACTCTGCTTCTTATTCAGCTCCCTCCTCACCTTCCTTTCCTTGGCTGCTTCCTCGTCGTCTTTCCTCCCCGCGCTGCTCTTTTATTTCCGAGCCTCCCCCGGTGTAGCAGCAGATGCCAGAGTCCTGTTCTCCTCAGCATGTCCCATGATACCTACACTGGTTTCTTCCTGTCCTGCTGCTCAGAGCCTCAGCGCAGTGACTCAGCATTCGTTTTATCCACTGACCCGAAACCACCTCCGGTAGCCGGCGCTGCCTAACCTGCATATATTTTACCTTTATGATGCCGTATACCACGTCTAGGCTCTCTATGACAGGATTCACGGCGTTGTTTATTGATGCGCCAGACCCGCCTGATGAAGAGGTGGTTCTGTCTGAGTTGTAAACAAAACACAGCTGACAATGAAGCTAACTGATCTCAATGAGCTTTATTGTACAACGAACAAAACGAGGCAGAGGAAGACGTGAGAGACGTAGTTCATGAAAGATTTATTCAGGTTAAGTGCATAAACTTGGAAGCATCTTGCAGCCGTCTACCTGTATGAGAATAATTACATCAAAGTTTACTTTACTCTAAGAAATCTGGGTTTATCTTGACTCAGCGTGGGCCTTTGTGGGGCGACTGTGAACAACATTAAAGGAAATCTGTGAATTTTCTTCTTATTTCTGAT